TGAGCTAATAGCAAGTTACTGGTGTTTTATGCCTTTTATGCTTTTATAAGGTTTTTATAATGTGTGTTAATAGTTTTTAATTGTTTTAATTTTGTTTATGTTCATTGTGGCATCAAATCATGCCAGTGTAAGCTGCCTTGAGTCGTCTTCGGGCTGAGAAAGGCAGCATAGAAATGCAATAAATAAATAATAAATAAATTGTGCCTTGCCATTTAAAAGAAGGTAATTTGCAAATGACAACATTAAGGGGGAATGTTTCCTTTGAAATAATGTAACTTTACATTTGTGCATGCTGTTTGGGATGTGTTCTGGAAACAGAAAAGATTAACAATAACAAAACACTGACAAATAATGCAACTCGTAACTTTGCAAATTACGTGTCTAAACTTGCAAAGTTACGTGTTGCATTATTTGTCAGTGTTTAGCTATTGTTAATCTGTTCTGTTTCCAGAACACATCCCAAACAGCATAAACAAATGTAATCATGTTAATTATTTCAAACGAAACATTATTGCCCCTAAAGTAATACTTTATAAGGAACGTTGTCAATTGTTATAGGTTGGAAAATGAAGGGCATACCCTGTACCAGGTTTGGTCCTGATCCATCAAGCCATGTAGGAGATTTGTAGTGCAAACAAGCCAACAAACATATATACTTTGACTTTTAGGTAGGTTGATAGACAGAATATAGTTTCTAAGCAACACTCCCTGCTGTACATTTCCCATGTACTAGCTCTCCACCTCTTGCCAGATACTCAGTTGCACTGAAAAGTACTTTTTTTGCAGCTTTAAAATTTTGCAAATTGCAATACATCGGTATGCAAAATACAAGGTTTATGTATGCAGTTACTCACTGGGGCATGTCATGTCTTTACTGAGCTGTACCTTGTTTTCTTGTCCCAGCACCATGACCATGTTGCTTGATGTTTAACATACAGCTGTTTGCTCAGTCAGCAATACAACTTTAGACTGCTAGTAAGAGAGAATGGCTCCATCTCCTGGACCCTTGAAATCCCATCAGCTGAACTCAAAAGACTACTCTGAGCTTTACAAAAGCGCCATTCCTCAAGCTTAACCACAAAACCCTGAGGTGAGCCAAATAATGAAACGTGGAAAACAATACATTCATTCTGCTTGGTTATTTTCAGATCTCTTTGGTTAAGCCCTATTGTATTGTGCTATGGTGGATTTTCAAAGGAAGACTCATAACATTCCCATTCCCCCTTGTCTCCTCATAGATATATTGAGAGAAGGGCAAAATACATCAAAGGCCAAAAAGCCTATAAGATTCTTTTTCTGGCTGAAACAGTGGCGTGGGATCATAACACAGACTTGGTGCCTAATTCTGGTCATGATGACAGCAGCATGCAAGAACAAATTCAAACAGTTGGAGACAAATTTACTCAATAAAGACATATGTCAATCAAATAAACTTAAGTCACATGGATTCCCCTGTGGTTGTAGTTGATCCTACAGTGAACTTATGTTGATTTAAGGTGAACCTAGAACAGGATTTTCTTGGTGAGATTTTTTTCACAGGAGATGTGTTATTGCTGAGGTTGAGACAATGTGACTGATTCAGTGGATTTCCATGGCTAAGTGGAAATCCAGTCAGTTGCTCCAAAGTCCTAGTCCACTATTCAAATCACGAAATTCCACTGGCTCTCTGGATTTCACCTAGTCTACCGTAAATATGACCATATATGTCTATGAATCCCAATTGTTTGTATTTCTAATGGAACTTCAAGGCACTAAAATCACATTGAATGGAAAAGTTGTGCCCAAAGACTATATTTGCAACTGAGAACCTTGGGGCCTGGCATTACATGAACAAGGAAGAGAACAGCATAATTTCTGTACCAGATGGCCTACTTAGGACGATCATCCATTAACTCAAAATAAACTCATTATCCAATTAAAAAGTGGGGCTTCTCAACTCTCTGCTTCATAACTGAGATGAATTTGCACTGGTGTTTACACAGAGCAGGCAGACTACAGAACTCTAAGCCAGTCAGATGCTATGAGCTCTGTTTGACTATCTTAATGACCCAGCTTTATTTGAGGAGCAACATGACTGGGTAATGGGGTTGGTCTTAAAAAAACTATCATAGTGGCAAAATTTCTCTCCCTGTAATGCATGCGTGACATATAGAATAATATCACAATATAACAAAATTAGGCAGTTACTTCAAATAAGCTGGTTTCTCTAGGTTAAACCATTGTTGTCATGTGAATTGTGAAAAAGCAGATAAATGTGAAAAAGTGTGACTATTTTGTGTTCTACCCAACATTTATCTTCCATTATTTACATTAAAAACTGCTTCTGCTAAAGTAGCCAGCAATATGTCTTCTTGCATTGAAATGCGTTGTACCTGATGTTGATTTGCAGTTCCCTTGTGTTCCCTTCGGGAGAGATAAAGTAGGATAATAATAATAATAATAATAATAATAATAATAATAATAATAATAATAGCATTTTCAAAATGTTGTCACACACTACATATTATTTATATACATTTGATGGGAGTTTTGCTTATGTGTACTGCATTACATTCCATCATGAAATCTGTATGACTTAAATTCACTGAGTAATTTTGAGCTGTTTGATTTTGCTTCACATACCACTATCATATTGTAACCACCACAAATAGGCATCAGGTCATTGTTATGATTCCAGGAAATTCAGCAACCACCCTGTGAGGCAAGTTAAAAATAACAACTGATCCAATGTCCATTTAATGGATCTATGGGGATTTGAAAGGGATCTGCCCATTCCTAGGCTGACACTCAAGCAACTGTCTCACAGTGGCATAGACATCTTTCCGATTTCTGTTAGCTTTCAGCCTCTCTACCTTTTCTGTCAAGGACCAGCTGTTTGTGACATCAGAGCACAGTGAATAGGTCAATGGCATCCATAAAGGTCATTATACCCCAGCTTGTTAAAACCTTCTTTTTTTTTTGACATCAAACAATAAATAAAAACAACACTGAGAAAGCAGAGGAATTACAGACATGAAATAATCAGGGTCAGCTAACACTCCCAACAAAGGATTCCCCCAGGCAGGAAGCAGCCAGGCTTTGTAGCTGCAAGGCTATTCAATGCCAATCAAGGTGGCCAATTGCAATACAGGACTTGAACGCAGATACTGAGTGGCAGAGGCCAGAATATCTATTTTTAGACTAAAATTCATAGAATTATCTGTTTGGAATCCTATTCAAATGATGATTGACTAGTTGAGAAATCACACAGCTCTTTCTATGGAACTGTACTTATTTAACTTTAATGTCTGTGTCACCTTCTCTGCATACATACCACACCTGCAGCTAGATTTAAAAAAATGTTTTGTGTGTTTTAAAAATGTTTTATCTTAGTATTGGAAGGCAATACAAAAAGTTCTCAAATAAATAACTCTCTCCTGAAAGTCAGTATCATATAAACAGCTCCCCTTGGAAAGCTCTTTAGCGATATTATTCAAGTATCTTTTAAGTTATCAGCTATTTGTTTTCTATCAAAAGCTGACCAATAATAAAAGTTTTCTGATGCGGCACAGCTAGGTTTATAGGCCTTGTTTCAGCTCCTAATTTCAAAGGAACAATAACACCGCCTAGTGGCCAGCAATGCTATAGTTTTGGTATTCCGCTGTTAGCAAAGCATTCATTATGATTAACAATCACAGGTAGGTACGTATTACTTTCCTTAAAGGTAATTTTAAAAGACCCTTACATATATTGATCACTACTTTAAAGGTAAAGACAGAATCAGAGTTGGAAGAGACCTCTTGGGCCATCCAGTCGAACCCCCTGCCAAGAAGCAAAAAAATTGCACTGGAAGCACCCCAACAGATGGCCATCCAACCTCTGTTTAAATGCCTCCAAAGAAGGAGCCTTCACCACACCTCAGGGCAGAGTTCCACTCTGATCAGCTCTCAGAGTTAGGAAGTTTTTCCTCCTTTCCTGTAGTTTGAAGCCATTGTTCCACGTCTTAAGTCTCCAGGGCAGCAGAAAACAAGCTTGTTCCCTTCTTTCTATGACTTCCCCTCACATATTACTGCATGGCCATCATGTCTCCTCTCAGGCTAAACATAGCTCTTGAGTTTTCTGATTCACAACTTATGGGAAAGGCTGAAGAGGCTGCAGTCACTGTATTGTAACATGAACAGAGGATGAAAATCAGTATGTACGGTACTTTGGGTTTTGGATTATGACTCTGGAGATTGGGTTCAAATCCCCACTCTGCCGTAGAAACCTATTAGGTGACCTTGGGCAACTCATATTCTCTCTGTCTCAGAATAAGGCAATGACAAATCCACTTTGAACAAATATTGCTAAGGAAATACTGTTAAGTCAGAAGGCATAGAACAACAATCACTGTGAGTTCTAGATATGTCAGCATACAATTGCTAAATTATTTACCTAAAGAGGAAGTGAAAGGAGGCGTGTAGTAGAAGCTTTCTGAGTCAGATACCTTGATGGAATAATTTACTGAGTTTGGTCCAAAAAACATGTCAACCGCAATCATTCCATACCATTTAGACTAGGAAGAGTGCATCCACACTGCAAAATTAAATGCAGTTTAACATCACTTGAACTGCCATGGCTCAATGTTCTGGAATCATAGGAGGTGTAGTTTTACAAAACCTTTAGCCCTCCTCTGCCTTCCCCCAAACTACAACTCCCAGGATTCCACAGCACTGAGTCAGGGAAGTTAAAATGGTACCAAACTGGATGAATTCTACTGTAACTGTAACTAATAAATGTACTTCTAAGGGTATGGAAAAGAACCACCCAGGCCCAGCATTATGCCTTTAGAGTAATCCGAAGTGTTAAGACAGTACTGGACACTGTACATTCAAGTAGTCATGGTAAACTGAGCTGGTAATATAATCTTTTAAGGGAGTCTTTCATTGTGTGCCATTTAACAAAGTGCGTTTTCCAAATGAATTAAAATTATTCCTTCCCACGGTTACCATTCAAATACCATGTCACAAAGGAGTCAACGCTGGGTTTCCATTTTTTAATATATCAATTATCATGCCACTAGCAGACAACAAATAGAAAGTACGGGGTACACACTAAAAAAATATTTAACTGATCAGTGTACCAGTTTAATCCCTTCGCAACGGAACAGATTCCTCTTTAATTCCATCCTTTGTGATAATGCAGATTTTGAGGGCATCCCCAGTATATACATCTCTTTCTGCAGCAGAAATGAAGACATCCTTTACTAGCTGCAAAGCCTTTTCCAAGGACAAAGACACTTGTTTCACATTCTGCATGTTCTTCAGGCCAACCTGTTAAAAAGAAAGAAACGAACCTTACCCTTTTCATATTATTTTAGAAGAAATTTTTACAGTCAAATCTGAAATGAAACCTGAACTCTATCTGCTTGGGAAATTCAATGAACAACTCGATAGAAAATGGGGAAGGTTATTGCTATACATAAGAATTACCATGCTCAAAGATGGAAAGACTCAACGGTTCTGTCAAAAAATATTGGATTTTGAAAATAAGCAAACTTGTGGAAATGTAAACTTATTATGCTGATTAAGAGGAAATCTCTAACTAACTGATTGTGAGACTATAAAAATTTTGTACATTCAGAAAAGACAACAAGTGGATGAATTGGTAGTGTATTAGCTTTTCCTCACATCTGAATTAACAATATTCAAATATACAGGAATGTGATCTCCCTCTTTCATCTGAGCCAGCTTGTCAGTGCTTGTGGTCTAAACACTTTGGCTCAGCCACTGCTTTGTGAAGTTACAACACCTTCAAAACCTCATAACTAAACAAATCTGCCCACAGAACTGCTTGCCAGCCCACCTGTTAAACAATTCCTTATATTAGTTACTGGTAGGCTTTGAGACAAGAACCAATTTCTGTACAACTAACTTCTCTGGACTTCTGAACCCAATTTTGATTGCCACACAATCAGCCAGCCCATTACAAGCCTCTTCTTGTGTATACTGTATTTTAAATACCAGTTTCTACAAGTTTACTGTTCTTATCCTTAATTTCATGCAATGAAAAAGTTACTCAGTGCCATCACAAAACACCACTGGAAGCAAACAAGTAACAAGCGCTTGAGAATCAACTAAACTGATTATTAATATAGCCATTGAACCATGAGGCAGTGCTCTTACCTGGTTGTCCAGCAAAGGCTGGAGCATGGCACTTGCCGACCCACCGGCTTTGAAAGTATCTCTCTGGTAGGAGCCAACAGGATCAAAGCTGTAAACTGCACCTTTTCCTTAAGCAAAGAAAGAAACTAAGATGAGCAACACACAAAACAACGATGGGGTAATTTTTGGAGGATTTCACATTCCCCAATTTTCCCCAAAATAAAGCATATGTTTTGCAGTCGAGATGAAGAAGAAAGGGGGCAATTTTGACATTTCCACCCCAAAAGGATAACAAATCCAAAACCATATATCAAAAGTAGCTGGTTTTGGATTTGTTATCCTTTTGGGATAACAAATATATATATATAGACACACACACACAAAATATGGCCTTAAGCCAACTTTTAGCTTCTGCTGATGCACGTTCTGACTCACTGTGACTTGCCTAAGTGTTGATTTAATGAGCTCTATTAAAGTAATGGATTTACCCTGGCACTAACAACTAGATTTAGTCCCATGAGTCCGTAACTAGCTAGAACCTTTATACTACCTAAGAACATAAATCAAAGCCTCTGTTATATGTCCTACAATAGTGAAATTTAAAATTTTGTTTGCTTAACACAATTAAGGACACTAATTGAGATAACAAACATAATTGACTTTTTTGCCCAGATATTTTCAAAGCAGGGAGAGGTAACTAATGGGCAGAACAGAGATCTCTATAAGACAAAAAATAAATGCCCCACCTTAGGATGCCAGTAGCCTGATTGATAATTTTCATAAAAAATAATAGTTATCAAACAGTGATTACTTTCTATAAAAATAAATGACATGCACATCAGATGTACCTGTTCTATAGAGAATGCATGGTATTTTTCCTATGACTAGCACTCTACAATGTGTTTCAGGTGTGGGCACAACTTTAAAAGAAAGTACAATGGCTCCCAAGAGATTTTTTTTTCCATGAAGAGAACCTTGTGGATCTAAAGTTAACGGAATAAATTAGTTTAAGACAGAATCTTCACCTCTTTTTGGTTGCCTCTGTTGGAGAGAGCAACCTTCTCAAGCCCTATTTGCTGTTTGTCTGTTTTAATATATATATTAAAGTATATATGTCTTATTTGGTTTGGCACTTTCCCTATCTCTATATACCTAAAGCAGTGGGTGGGGCTGCAGCCATGTGACTGACTCAGTGAAGGTTTAGAACAGGGGTCCTCAAACTAAGGCCCGGGGGCCAGATGCGGCCCTCCAAGCCTTAGCCTCCATTTACCCGGCCCTCTCTCAAGGTCAACCTAAGTATGAAACTACTTTTTTTTTGTCGTGTCTGAAGCAACCTGAGAAACTGCTAGTCACTTCTGGTGTGGGAGAATTGGCCGTCTGCAAGGACGTTGCCCAGGGGACGCCCAGATGATTCGATGTTTTTATCATCCTTGTGGAAGGCTTCTCTCATGTCCCCGCATGAGGAGCTGGAGCTGATAGAGGGAGCTCATCCACCTCTCCCCGGATTTGAACCTGCGACCTGTCGGTCTTCAGTCCTGCCGGCACAGGGGTTTAACCCACTACACCACCGGGGGCTCCATGAAACTACTTGAAAGCACACAATAACAACAACAATCCTATCTCATCAGCCAAAAGCAGGCCCACACTTTCCATTGAAATACTAATAAGTTTACATTTGTTAAAATTGTTAATTTTAATTATTGTATTGTTTTTAAATGTTTTTGCACTATAAATAAGATACGTGCAGTGTGCATAGGAATTCATTCGTATTTTTTTCAAATTATAATCTGGTCTGCCTACAATTTGAGGGATTGTGACCTGCCCTCTGTTTAAAAAATTCAGGGACCCCTGGTTTAGAATTTTCAGTTTTAAACAGGATGACTATTAGAGAAGTCAGTTGAGCCTTGAGCCTGTTAGAAATCAGCGTTGAGCCTTGAGTGAGCTTGAGTGTAGAAGTCGGTCAGAGTGCAGAAGCTATCGTTAGGAAGTTAGTAAACTGTTGAGGCTTGTATTTTTTCAAGTAAAATCTTATTAAAGAGCTGTATAAAGCAATACTGTTTACGAAGAAACAGTTAAAGATTATACATTTAAGGTACAAACACTCTGAAATGTTTTAAAGTTTTTAACCCTTGACAAGAAATGTGCCTGTATGTTTAAATACATGAATCATAGAATCATAGAGTTGGAAGAGACCTCATGGGCCATCCAGTCCAACCCCCTGCCAAGAAGCAGGAAAACTGCATTCAAAGCACCCCCGACAGATGGCCATGAAGTTATCAGTAAACAAACGTGTTATCTTTAAAAGAAGTTTGCTTGCATCATTGTTTGCTGTTGAAAGCATCAAACAGAAACAAGATATCTATGTGCCCAGTGATCATCCATTACTAAATAAACCCTGCTACTGCATTAGGTTGTGATCCTAACAGGTCATAATCCATTCCAATCCCCAATGCACTGCTTCAGTGGGGTCTCCTGATTCTCAGGAGAGGTTTTGAAAGAAAGGAACTGGAAAAAAGCTAGCAGGGAACCAAATTTCGACTGGTCATACTACAAACCTTTCTACTGATCCAATCCAAACACATGTTTTTTTGTCCAAACAAGTGAGAAGATTTTTCTTTATTTTTAAAACAGTGGATTCTTCTACCATCTGCCCTCACTCCCAAATATCAAGGCCTTTACCACAACGAGAGTCCCACTAAACATAGATTTCTTTCAAGTGAACCAAAATAGTATTGCACTTTAATAGGCGTCAAACTCTTACTTACTCTGGTGGTGAAACATAATTAGTATGACATGTCAGAATGAATACTGCTATGTTTACGCCAAATATTTTTTCAATTTTAAGTTTTTTTATTGTTTAGAAAGCATTAATTTTCAAAACATCTTGGATAAAGTACTTTCCCAATCTTATGCTACCACTTTCAGGAAATCTATTTTCCTTGTCTTTATCGAGAGAACAAATTGAACCTTACCTTCTTCATCCAATCCACCAATTATGTTATAGACATAGTAAGGGAAGAAACGTCGGGAATACAGGATGGTAGATAGCATAGCTGCAATAGCACCTGCACTCATAATCTTGTTATTGGAATGCTTGTACATCTGGAATCAAATAATACAGCTGTTATAATAGATGCAGGCAGGGGTTCATGTTTAAGCAAAATTACTGCACAGAATGTTAAAAAAAACCTGGCTATGATACAAGAGAGCCATTTCTATCATCAGATACGGTAGCCACCTGGACATGAACTGCCAGTTAATGAATACATTTTCACCCTTTTTGGATGTTAAAGGGGTGAGAATGTAATGATTATTCATTCAAACACTTATATTCTACTCTTTATCTCAAAATCTCAGGATGGCATTCAGAAAAATCAATTAAAAAATAAATAACAATAGGAGACCTTCTAGCTTTTGTTGGCTTGCACACATCAACAGGCAAGGTTTATTGGGCCTCCTTTGGCTGGCAGCGGGGGGAAGCCCTGTACCCCTCCGAAATTTTTCAGCACAATAGTCTCCCAGCCCCCACTTTTAAAAGTGGAAAATGTGACTATTATGCAGTGAAATACGGTATTCATTTATCACCAAAGATGAGGCAATTTAAAATAAGGCTGACCATAGCTGAGGTGCAAATTGTTTAACATTGGTTGAAAGCTAAAATGCCACTGCTAGCCACTTGCTGAAGGAACAAGTAGGGCAAAAAAGGGTAGTTTAGAAAATTGGAAGGAGTCAAGGGGAACACAACTCACCACGGGTGAACTATATGTGGAACCATGAATACATCTTGACCATTCCTTCAACAGAACTAGTGCACAAAAAAACTTAGTTTTACAGAAGTCACAACAAATGGTCAAAGTACCTATGAAATGACTTATGAAAACATAATCCCAAGTACAAGATTTAACCCTTCTGCAAGGATAAAGACAAGACTCCAGGAAGGATAAAAGCAGAACAATACCACTGGATACAATGCCATTTTAAGCTATCATTTTCTTTGCTGATCCGTGGCAAATGTTCGGTCAGTTTCATTTGGAAACATTCATAATCTCATACCTTTAATCTTGCCTCAATGATTTTAGTAAGCGTAAGGCAATCTCCATGAAATCCACTGCAGCCAATAACTGTTGTGTCTGTCCTACATAAACACAAACATAAAATGGATATTCTTTTTAGTCATCTTGATATCTTTTCTTATATAGGTCATTCATTAAAGCACTTGGAGAAGCCAAATAAGAGTATCATTCAGAATCAAGCATTATTTTCAAATAGTTTATCTTAAAACATCACAGGAAGTAAAATTTAACAGGATGTTCAGTGTTGTATGTAATCACCTTCCCAGCCTCAAACTGGTTCCAGGATTTTCTATGTAATCACCTACACAGCAAAACCACTTTCTTTAACACCACTCTTGATATCAAAAGTGAAACTGTTCTCAGTTCCTGCTGCTCCTTGGTGTTGGGCAGCATTTGATCCACTCAAAGCCACAAAAGGGCAAGATTCTTCACAAAATTTAAAGAGGTAAGGAAAGTATTTATTATTTCCACAAATCAAAACAGGTATATGTAGAAAGGTAGTTCAGCAAATATTACAGCTGTGTTTGTAAGAAATCAAAACAAGCATTCACAAACAAGGCCATGGGTCATACATCAAGCAGAAACAGCAGAAAGCTTTGCCCACACAGTTCCACGCCTGCCATACACACACCAGCATATATCTTTTTCTGGTAGGTTACAAAGGCCTATCCTGTCCCAAGTCTCCCCACCAGAACTGTACAATTCTGTAAAAAGCTGATTGTGCTTCTTACCTGTGCAAAAGAAAGAGAGAGAGAGCACGCAAAGTGGCAATTCAGAAACTGACCAATTGCTTGGACTTGATGGAGGAAGGAAATGAGAGAACACTCTTCCCCTTAGAATTATGGTTGACTTGCCTCCCTGCTCTCTCCTTTCTCCATGGATAAGCAGCAGCTTCTATGCTCACTCCCTAAAATTTGACAGCTGTCAAAGGGATAAGCAATGTTGGATGTTGCACAGAGGCCTACAGAATAGCACCATGTGCTTCATCTGTAGAAGACTTACAGCATTTATTTATTTATTTATTTACTGCATTTATTGACCGCCGCTCTCAGCCCTAGGGCGACTCGCGGCGGTGCACAACATATAAAAACAGTTTACAAAAGGGCAAAACAGGAAATCAATACAACAATAATACACTATAATCTAGTTACACTAAATAATCCGCTCCGTCACATCATAGAATCATAACCAATATCGTAATCCGTATTCCGTTCCAGTTGTCAATTACCAGTTGCCGTAGCGCTCAGTTGAATGCCTTCTCAAATAGCCAGGTCTTCAGGCTCTTACGGAAGGACAGAAGGGAGGGCGCCTGTCTGATGTCAGCAGGGAGGTCGTTCCACAGCCGGGGGGCCACCACCGAGAAGGCCCTTTCTCTCGTCCCCGCCAGATGTGCCTGTGAAGCAGGCGGGATCGAGAGAAGGGCCTCCCCAGACGATCTCAAGGTCCTCGTGGGCTCATAGGCCAAGATGCGGTCCGAAAGGTATTTTACACACACCATTTACACACACCTCACTAACAGGATTCCAATTATGAAGAGTAAACAAAATAACATAATTTCAACTTACAGCTTGTAGCATTTTGGACTATCCCGGCTGTGAACAGCATAGTCTTCACTTAATCGAGTGTCTGAGGCAACAATAGAAAAATCTTCACCAGCAATGGCCAATATAGTCCTTTCAAGAAAAAAAAGACAGAAAATGCAAGATGTTGCTAATTTTATGTTAGCTAAACTAATTAATATATGTAACCTGAAATCAAAAGACTCCAAAAACAAGTTTAACTTTGTGTTCTCTAGTGTTCCAAAGTAAGGTGGGTGGTCTGAAATTGCCATGCACAAGAGTAAAATGCTCAAGATTGTGATTTGGAGATGCTGTACTTAATGCCAGGATTTTCTTTGAATTTTTCCTGAATATGTTTTTAGATGAAGTAGTAAGGCAATTGAGCTCTCATGGAAAAAGCCCACTGTCCTTAGGAAATGTATGAGGTTCCAAAATAAACATGTAAGAGAAAAAGAAGGCACACAACTTAAGTGTAGTGCTCAGAATCCACATGAAATTCCAGCTTCTGGATAAATAACTGCCAATGTTTAAGATGTTAGCTATATTTTCCATATGCTGTTATCCCAGTTTGGGCAACTGAAATAGTGTTAGCAACTACCACTAGTTAGAAAAGTATTAGCAAGTAACATAGGCTCCATCTGTGTACATTTAAATCCCAATAATTTCAACAAAAGACAACTATGAAGACCACCAGGGCTCTGCAGAATTGAAATTCACAGGATTTATCACCTCTGCCTAAACTGTTCAAGTCCACTCAGACCTGCAGTTTAATATCTGGAGCTGCATTATTATTAGCCATGGTTCTCAAGAAAATAAACTTATATGAAGCAATGGAATAAAAGTTACTACATGCCTGAGCAACAGTAGTACTTTGGGAGGGGGGGAGGGTCTTCATGAATGAGGCAGCCCTCAGGTCCAGAAGAAAAGTCCAGACAAGGAGGGAAGGGGTATAGAATATCTTTATTAGTCCTAATGAACGTACACAGATCAGACCAGGGGTCCTCAAACTTAGGCCCGGGGGCCGGATACGACCCTCCAAGGTCATTTACCCGGCCCTTGCTCAGGGTCAACCTAAGTCTGAAACGACTTGAAAGCACACAACAACAACGGCAACAATCCTATCTCATGAGCCAAAAGCAAGCCCACACTTCCCATTGAAATACTAATAAGTTTGTATTTGTTAAAATTGTTCTTCATTTTAATTATTGTATTGTTTTAAAGTGATTTTTGCACTACAAATAAGATATGTAGTGTGCATAGGAATTCATTAGTCTAGTTTAAACCACATTTATTTATTTATTTATTTATTTACTGTATTTGTATACTGCCTTTCTCAGCCAATCGGCGAATCAAGAGAGTTTCCAACAAATCAGTACATATAAAAACATAACACAGATTAAAACATTAAGCAATATAAAACCCCACAAAAGCAATGAAAACAACATCATTAGCGTCTCATTATTATCAAGCATTGTCCAGTTCCATTGTCAAATCGTTTGATTTCCTATATTGGCTACTCTGCATTTGTAAACGCTTGCTCGAACAGCCATGTTTTAATTCGCCTCCGAAACGTTAAGAGGGAGGGAGCAGATCTAATCTCCCTAGGGAGGGTATTCCATAGCCGAGGGGCCACCACTGAGAAGGCCCTGTCTCTCGTCACCGCCAAGCGTACTTGAGACGAAGGTGGGACCGAGAGCAGGGCCTCCCCAGACGATCTTAGAGTCCTTGATGGTTTGTAAGGGGAGACACGTTCTCCCCTTACAAGTTGGGCCAGAACCATATAGGGCTTTATAGGCCAAAGCCAGCACTTTGAATTGGGCCCGGTAGTCAGTGGAGCTGGCGCAACAAGGGGGTTGTATGCTCCTGTTAGCAACCTGGCTGCTGTTTGTTGGACTAGTTGAAGCTTCCGGGCCGTCTTCAAAGGCAACCCCACGTAGAGAGCGTTGAAGTAGTCGATATGGGATGTAACCAGAGCGTGGACTACCATAGCCAAGTCAGACTTCCCATGGTATGGGCTCAGCTGGCGCACAAGTTTTAACTGTGCAAATGCTTCCCTGGTCACATCCCTCAGCTTTTTCTATGTTGGAAACTTAGGAACTGCAGGGGACATTTTGAAGTAAGAAAAACTAAACAGAATTTTTGAAATAGGTGACAGCGAGTGAGAAAGTGAAACCATTGTGATCCTGGAAAAACATAAACATCGTGGTCTGAGCACTGGACTCTGGAGGCCACGGGGGCAGGCACACTTTAGGATTAATGCAGTTTGATACCGCCTTAGCTGTAGTAACTCAATGAAATTGAATTCGAGATGCTGTAGTTCAATGAGGCATCGGCTCTCTTGGGCAGAGAGGGCTAAAGACCTGGCAAAACTGAAACGCCCATCATGCCAGAGTATTGAGCCATGGCAGGCAAGGCGGGGGTGAAACTGCCTTCATCCTATAGCTCAGTGGTTCTCAACCTGTGGGTCCCCAGATGTTTTGGCCTTCAACTCCCAGAAATCCTAACAGCTGGTAAACTGGCTGTGATTTCTGGGAGTTGTAGGCCAAAACACCTGGGGACCCACAGGCTGAGAACCATAGCTGAAGGCTCGGGCCTGGACCGCGCTGGGCGTCCAAGGGGAAGCCTCTGCCAACCCCTTCTTATCCCAAAGGCCTGGGACTCACCCGCCATTGAAGGTGTAAGGCGAGAAGCGCCTCTGCACGGCAGCTCTTTGCTTCGCCTCACAATCCAGGCCGAGCGCGGGCTCGAAGTAGCCACCTGTCGAGAGCATCCTTCCTCCTTGGGGTGCTGTCTCACGGCAAAATGGCGCCCCGGAACCGGAAGTCGCCTTCAGTTCCTTTCCTCGGCGGTGCGCTTCTCCCTTGCGCCTGCAGGTGTCGCTGTGTTGCGCATGCGCGTTCCAAGCTTCTTCCACTCCTCCCCACTCACTAATGGGAGGTGTCGAGCCGGGAGTTGTGTATTGGGCGTGTTTGGATGACGCGATAACTGTGCGCCGCTGCCGCCTGAGAGAACGAGCGCGGAGAAGCGAAGGCACCGCTGAGGTCGGGCAGGAAAGGCGGCGGAGCGGGAAACGCGCCTGGATCCCAGTTTGAGGCCCGGACGGGGATTGTACAAGGCGCCTTTGGGGCTCACCTTTACTCGTTTTTGTGGGAGTTAGTTGCGTGTTGGTCGCCGCGGTTGGAAGCCAGCTTCAAACTGCAATAAATGGTCAGTGTGGACGGGGCCTGCTTGTGTGCGCTGTGGCTGAGGAAAAGGGCTCCCCCAAACAAGTGGCATTCCTTCGGTTGGACGTTGAACAGCTCAGAAGCAGCCGGTAGGCCAGGCATGGGCAAACTTTGGTCCCCCAGGTATTTTGGACTTCAACTCCCATCATTCCTCACAGCCTCAGGCCCCTTCCTTTTCCCCCTCAGCCGCTTAAGCGGCTGAGGGGGAAAAGGAAAGGGCCTGAGGCTGTGAGGAATGATGGGAGTTGAAGTCCAAAATCCCTGGAGGACCAAAGTTTGCCCATGCCTGGGGTAGACTATTAGGAATTGTGGGAGTTGAAGTCCAAAACACCTGGAAGGAGGGCTGACGTTTGAAAGAAAAAGATGAAAAAAGTAATCTGAGAAGCTGTTACTTCACAATCTTTCAGAGTGGAGTTGAAATCATTGCATTTTCAAAGAAGTTTAAATATTTGTTATAATTCTATAGGTAACTTCCCACCATGTATGTTGTCTATGTGGTATGTGAAATTATATGTGAGATTGTGGGGGAGGGGGAGGTTTATCAATGCAGAACTATAGAACTGGCAAAGATTTATGCTGGTAATGGACCTATTTTTGAAAGTACGTAAGAAATATTTTGTGAAATGTTTAGGCAACACAGGGGTAATCTGTGTTCTGAGTTTTGTTGCAAACTCTGTATCATGAGCCATTCTCCCTTCTAGGCTTTGGACACCTGTGAGCTGATGTAGTTCCAGAAATGCCAAGGCTGACTGCATAACTCATTGCCAGGACATCAGATTCCTTAAGGCAGATGGTCTAAATTTGCTGTAGTGACCTGAACTTGTGGTCATCACTTAGCTGGAGACGTGACCGCCGCCATGGATCAAAACAACAGTATACCACCTTATGCCCAGGGTCTAGCATCCCCTCAGGTAAATATGTGTGAACTTACAACTTATGAAGAAATAGAACCTTCAAAGGCAGTTCTTTACACAGTGAAATGAAATCTTGCACGTGTTATTTAACTCCAGGCCTTTCTCATTATTTTTACAAAAAGTTGGAAAAGCTGTTTTTTTTTATTATAGCTTCCAGTCTAGAAGTTATAGTGCAAAACTAGTGTCCCCAAATCTGTTTTCTTCCCCAACCTCCTTGGTATCCTTGCTGTAAGTTCCTTTGTACTGATCTTGCTCACCCTCAACTTTTCCATCCTCATAAGGGAACAAGAACAGAATGGAACAAGATAGAAGAGCTTTATTGTCATTGTACTATTTCACAACAAAACTAAATGCCTTCCCCAGCACACATCACAAAAACAAACCACCCATCCCACCACACTCCAACCACCACTGCACAGCCCCCAATGCCACATCAGTGTGAAACCATGGAGTTCAACATAGCCACAGCTCTAGGATAAAATCTTATCTCTCAGTCTGTTTGCCCTTGTCTTTGTCACCCTGTACTATCTGCCAGATGGCAATAATTAAAAAAAAAAAAGAATATGCTGGGAGAGCTGGATCTTCAATAATGCTCTGAGCTTTCTTAAGGCTATGGGGCCTATACCTTTGGAGCACCTTCCTATCTGGCACTGTGCAGTTACCAAACTATGCGCAGATGCAGTAGGCTAGGACACTCTCTATAGCACAGCAGTAGAAAGTCACCAGCAGTTTTTCATTCAGTTGTTGGTTACTTAAAAGTCTTAGCTAGTATAGTCTCTGCTCGGCCCACTTAACCAACATTGCTATATGTGTGCCCCAGGTCAGATCCTCTTTAATAGTGACACCCAGGAACTTAAAAATGGCCACCCACTTCACTTGGTCTCCATTTATGAACCAGGGCTGGGTTTCTGATCTGTTCTTCCTGTAGTCCACTATCAGCTCCTTGGTCTTATTGATATTATAAACCACATTATTGTCCCTGCACCGCAAGAACAACCAATCCACCTCATCATCCTGATAGGCAGACTCATCCCCTTCAGACACAAGCCCCACCATGGTTGTATCATCTGCGAATTTGATAATAATATTGGTATGGTGGATGGGGTTACAAAGTGTAAAGCTGAGGATTTAACACACAGCCCTGTGGCATCGCAGTGTTGAAGTGAGAGCTGATAAAGTATGATCACCCAATCTAACCCTCTGGGAACATCCAGACAAGAAGACCATAATCCATGAGCAGAGTGAATATGACAGTCCAAGATCCATAGGTTTAGATACCAGTCTGTAAGAAAGGAACAAGAGCCAAGACAGGTCTTTGAGACATTTCTTTGCTTTGTCTCTTTCATGGCCTCCTTGGGCTGGTTGTAGAGGAAGGAGATAAAATATATCTTTTTTCTGTCATCTTAGCTGTCACTGGAACTATTGGAATAGGTGCAGTAGTGCATGCAAGAGCATATATAAGGCTTCTTACTTCTAAATACACTTTAATTAGCTTCAAGCAGTAATTTGAACTGTGTGCATAGCTTGTTAATGTACCATGAGAAATATGCTTTGCCTAAAGTGGTTGCCAAACTTTGATCCTCTGGGTGTTTTGGATCTTAGCTTCCATATTCCCCAGTTCAGTTTGGCTTACAGGAATCCTAGTAGATGGGGTCCAAAACATATGGAGAGCCAAAGATTGGGTACCACTAACTTAAAAGAACTCTGTGAGCCCAGGGTTCCAGTAAAAGAGGGGCTGAAGATTGCATTACTGCACAGCTCCCACATTGGCTTAGTTTGGTTATTGGCAGCACTACACATCTCTACATAAATGTTCTTTTGTGCAGAGTGTTCAAGGAATAGTAAGATAGTTTAGATCAATTCGACACTTTAGAGACCAAATTTGGTTTTAACACTATTCATGTAACATTTATTGAAATACAATCACTATAGAATCACATCAAGAGAGAGCTCTCATGCACACATTCCAAACATTCACACATACTCATACACACACAGGCCTCTGGACGAATGTGATCAGCTTTCCTCCGAGAAGGTGTGGACGTTCCCGTTGCCATGGATCAGGAAGCATGCATACTCTTGGGGTCCTCTGCATTTATAGGCCAACATCAATCTTTCTTCTTTAATGAACATGCTATCCTATTCTTGTGGGTTCAAGACATCCACATTCCAGGCCATATGACTTATGAGGTACCTCCTGCACACTTCTTACATGCTTGACTGCACACCTTATTGTCCATTGTTGTTCAGCTACACCTTACTGCTTCCTCGCTTCGTCTGCCAAATCCAACCCATATCATGCTTTGCGTGAGCTCCATGTTGATTTTTCCAGGCCTGCTTCTTCTGCTCTTCTCCATGCATTCACACATTCATTCCTTACAAATGTATTTGTGTAGGCACTTGTGCATACCTTCCTGGTAGTAAGCTCCAGTGGACATAGTGGAACTAATTTTTGAGTAAACATATGCAGAATTTGTACTGAGAATAATTCCTGATGCAGAAAAGATAGTTGAAATAGCCACCTTCAGGTAGGGCATGTAGAAATACTGGGGAATGATAACTTCAGAATCAGAGAAGCTCTTTTATAGGCTGTAAAAAAATCCTTAAAAATATAAAATTAATATTTTTAGTTTTTGTTTGAAGGCAAAAGTGCTTTCGCTAATTAAGCTCTGGCCTGTAGTAGGAAGGTGTTTTTGTCTAGAGGAAAGCCTATCTGGGGGGGAAAATCTTTCATTATCTTGTTTTTAGTGTTGAGGGCTTGATCCTGGTGTTTAGTGTTCATGTATTAGTTTTGATGTATAAGTCAAGGATAAAATACAGGATGTTTCAAAAAGATGGGTCCAGTTTGAAATTGCATTATCCCAGAAACCACAAACTACCCATGAATGAAACCATCACCCTTTAAAGGATAGGGCATAGAGTTTCCAATGATTACTGCTAGATGCCTCTCATGGCACACAAACAGCCTTTGTCATTCTAAAGATGGAGACCCTGCAACATGGGTCCGTCTAATGGGATTTTCGCTATTTGTGGAGGATTGTGTGTTTTTTGCGTTTGTTTCAGGCGCATTAAAGGGTCCATAACTTTTTGTTTAATTGTAACATGCTACCATCATGAAACATACTGCTTTGAAATTTGGGTCGATCATTTTGAAACATCCTGTAATATGGGAAAAATAACTTGGTTCATGACAACGAGCTCACCTTGTGAAAGTCTAGGTATACTTATTACAGTAGTTTTCATTTTTTTTGCACATAAGGGCCACTTATCCAGTGGAATGAACCATAACTGGATGCACTGGATTTCAAGCCTTTTTTCTGTATTGTTTGGAGATTAATCTATAGCAGCGTTTCTCAACCTGGGGGTTGGGACCCCTGGGGGGGTTGCAAGGGTAAGTCAGAGAAGTCACCAAAGACCATTAGAAATCACAGTATTTACTGTTGTTCATGGGGGTTCTGTGTGGAAAGCTTGGCCTAATTCTATCATTGGTGGGGTTTGGAATGCTCTTTGATTGTAAGTGAATGGTAAATCCCAGCAACTACAACTCCCAAATGTCAAGGTGTGTTTCCCCCAAACTCCACCAGTGTTCACATTTGGGCATATTGAGTATCCATGCCAAGTTTGGTCCAGATCCATCATTGTTTGAGACCACAATGCCCTCTGGATATAGGTGAACTACAACTCCAAAACTCAAGGTCAATGCCCACCAAACCCTTCCAGTATTTTCTGTTGGTCATGGGAGTTCTGTGTGCCAAGTTTGGTTCAATTTCATCATTGGTGGAGTTCAGATGCTCTTTGATTGTAGGTGAACTATAAATCCCAGCAACTACAACTCCTAAATGACAAAATCAATCCCCCCAACCCCACCAGTATTCAAATTTGGGCATATCAGGTATTTGTGCCAAATTTGATCCAGTGAATGAAAATACATTCTGCATATCACATATTTACATTACAATTCATAACAGCAGCAAGAGTATAGTTATGAGGTAGCAATGAAAATAATGTTGTGGTTGGGGGTCACCACAACCTGAGGAACTGTATTAAGGGGTCACGGCATTAGGAAGATTAAGAAGCACTGATCTATAGCCGTGAAATATGTGCAATTGATCTTTGGAATGGCCCTGGATTATGATTGAGGATGGCCTGATTTAAATAGTGTATGCAATGTTTTATATGTTTAATGTGCATTTAATTTTAATTTTTAACTTCAATGTATTTTAACTGTTTGTTGTCCAAAGGGATTGAATAGTTGCCATATGTAAAGCTGCCTTGAGTCCCCTTCGGGGTAGAGGAAGGAAGGATACAAACAGAGTAAATAAATAAATGTTGTTGAGCCACTTTTAACAACAGTTGGGGTTTTTTTTGCAAAGAATTAATCTTATCCTGGCTAACTTAAAAATGAGTGTCAAAGATGTAACTTTGATTCTTTGTATTCTCTCCTTGTAGAGTGCAATGACTCCTGGCATTCCTATTTTTAGTCCCATGATGCCATATGGCACAGGGCTCACACCGCAACCCGTTCAAACCACAAACAGCTTATCTATTCTGGAAGAACAGCAAAGGCAACAGCAACAGGCCGCAGCACAACAGTCCACATCGCAGCCAACACAAGGGACCTCTGGTCAGACACCACAGCTTTTCCACTCACAGACACTTACCACTGCTCCTTTGCCAGGGAGCACATCTCTTTATCCCTCTCCAATGACTCCCATGACCCCAATAACCCCTGCGACACCTGCTTCGGAAAGCTCTGGGATTGTGCCACAGCTGCAGTAAGTGTGTATTTCCTTCTGCCTGCCTTTCAACAGTATTTTGAAATAGTAAGTTTGAGGTTTAAGTCAGATGTCCAAGTAGTATGAAAGCTTTGCCAGGAGATGTATCTCTTCATTTGGATCAGGTGACTGACTTAAGCAATGAAAGTAAAATACTGTATTAAAAGGCAAAAGTAAACTGAAAAAGCTAAACTGTAGATGATCTCTTCAATCATCTAGAGGCCCTGCTCTCACTCCCGCCCCCTTCACAGGCGCGATTGGTGGGGATGAGGGAGAGGGCCTTCTCTGTGGTGGCCCCCTGACTCTGAACTCACTCCCCAAGATATCAGACAAGCCCCCACATTGGCAGTCTTTAGGAGGAGCCTGAAAATGTGGCTGCTCCAGTGTGCCTTCCCTGAATAAAGGAGACAATGCCCTGTTCTGACCAATTCCTTGCAAAATGTCCTCAGAAGCATTTTAACTACCCATTGGGTTGGTCTCCCTACATTATTCTTTAAAACCCTCCTGCTTAGATACATCCTACCTCTGGTCATGCCCAGTGTTTATTTTAAAATTTTAATCTATTACATCTGGCCCGGCCATAAGGTTTTAAATTTTTTTGTTAGTGCTTATATGTGAGTTATATTAATTGTACTGTTTTATTTGCTTGCTGCTTTGTTGTTTTACTGATGTGTTGTTGGGCTTGGCCTCATGTAAGCTGCTCTGAGTCCCCTTGGGGAGATGGTGGCGGGGTATAAATAAAGTTGTTTTATCATCATTATCATCATCATCATCTTCTGTCCCAAGAAATATTTGGGTTTTAACAGATGTGTCAAGGGAAGGAGGTTTTCAATCAATGAAATGAGAGAGCCTCTCATCATATCCCTGTGTATTGAAGTGGTGCTCTTGATGCTTTTTGGCAATATGATAGAATTGTATGTATGGATGGCCTATGTATGTTGAATACAAGCTTTCAATATTCATGTATATGAAGCTAAAAGAGCAGCTGTCATTTTACTGTACTGACTTTGTTAATTGTGTTCAGGGTCTCAGAATGTTTCCTTGAACCAATTGCAACTTTTCCTGTTTTAGGGAAAACCTAGGCAACACAGTCCACTACTGTCCTAGCAGATATGATATAAAAATCCCATAGAATATAAAACTGTATATAAGGAGAAGGGAATTAGAGGGAGCAAACTGCATGGAATGTCAAAATATTATTTCATTGTGTATGACAACTAATAATTTAAGTGTGAAAGCTTCATTTGAAACTTCCTAAATAAGTTGTTGGCTTGGAGTTTCATTTCTAGAAATACATCGTACAAAATATTTTTAAAATTTCTGAAAACCAAAATGTGGAATTCTCTATATTTGTATCTCACATTATTATCAATAACATGGTTGTAATCCTGTTACTGATGCTCATAATATCATAAACATCCAAAGCATGTAGGTTCTACGTGTACAACAATACACTGTAACACATGAGACAAAATAATCTGTTGTAAATTTAACAAGTGTGTTTCTTTTTTACCTGCTTCAAAGGTAGTTGCATGATGGGTAATTACTTCAAAATATTAAAGGATCATAGCTTTCCTAACATGTCTATACATTTTCTTTAGGAATATTGTGTCTACGGTAAATCTTGGCTGTAAACTTGACCTAAAAACCATTGCCCTTCGTGCTCGAAATGCTGAATACAACCCCAAGGTAAGGGACTATTAAGTTGTAGCAATGGACTTTACCAGTTTAGAGATGGTTACTTCTGACTTTTGTGATTTCACCACTAGTCCCCTTCAGCACTAATTGTAGATGCTTTTAGATCTTAAAAAATTAACGGAGGTAACCGATGCTCAAAAAATTCTTAGGATTCTTGTACAGGCAGTCCCCAAGTTACAAACATCCAACTTTCATATAACTCCTAGTTACAAATGGGGCAAGACAACAGGAAGTGAGAGAAATCTGCCCCTCGGAATGGAAATTTACTCCTGGAAGAGTTATCATGGAAAAAAATTCTCTACTGAAGCTTTCTCATCAATCCTTGTTTTAACAAGAACCCAAAATTTTCAAAATCCAATTATCACAGGGACGGAAAGTGAGGTGAAACCTTCTGAACAGGGCTACAGACAGCAAAATAAATAAATAAATACCAGGATGTTAGCCCTTCCATATGCTGTCCCAAAACTTTTTTTAATGGCTACAGTTAGACTTTAAAATGTACCTGTTCTAAATATATACAAATTCAACTTAATGACAAACCTACAGATCCTTTCTTGTTCATAACCTGGGAACTGTCTGTAGTGATAAACTTCTTCTATGTGTTTCAGCGTTTTGCTGCTGTAATTATGAGAATAAGAGAACCACGTACGACAGCGCTCATATTCAGTTCTGGAAAGATGGTGTGCACTGGGGCTAAGAGGTATGCAATGTCTGTATCTGTACTGTCACATCCAAGCTGCTTTAAATGTCTTTAGCGTTAATGTGTCCTGACGTTCTATCAAGAGGATGCTAGATTGCCTTCCTGTTTGAACAAGAAACCCCACAGAATGAATGTCCACGCTATTGCTTTCAAGAAACAATGTCAATTTATTAATTGACCTTGGGCCTAGTTCCACCCAGGCACTATCTTGATTTCCCCACAACAAAGTCCATACTTAAAGTTTGAGGGTAACTGGTAGTTCTTGAAGTTGCTGGTCACGGATGATTCCAGAGACAAAAGACAGATGGAAGTTGCCCTTGCTCACTTTTCTGGAGCCTTTGGGATGTCCAATGCCCAGGGTGATCAGGCCAGAGGCTGAGAGAGCAAGTCTCTCCTATTGAGGCCTGGCACTTTGCTGAAGGCGCTGGAAACTCCACAGACTAACACTGACCAGAGGTAGGTAGGTAGTATAGCCGGATGAGTTTCCAAATCAGTTAGTTATTGGCTTGAAATGGCTTGTCCAAGCCTGGATCTCACTGAGACCAACTACAGACATGTCTTGTTTCCAAGATTCCATGGTGGTAATAGCCATAAACTAAAGATGGCTCTCTTTCTCCGGGCAAAAGAATGGGCAAAGCCAGGAAGGGATTTCTTAAGCACCACCTTCATGAAACTAACAGAAAAGCGACTATTCTCAAACTGTGGATGAGGCAGCCTAACGAAAGGAACAGGGACTTGTACAGTTCCATCACAGTATTCGTTCATCTTACTATACACATAAGCATATTCGTCATGTACACTTAATATTTATAATGTAATGGTGCCCCTCCTTTTTTCCTAGTGAGGAACAGTCCAGGCTGGCTGCCAGAAAGTATGCAAGGGTTGTCCAGAAGTTAGGCTTTCCAGCCAAGTTTTTGGACTTTAAGATCCAGAATATGGTGGGTAGCTGTGATGTGAAATTCCCTATCCGACTTGAGGGATTGGTTCTTACACATCAGCAATTTAGCAGGTAGGTGAAAATGTTCTCTTGTTGTCCTCCCTTAATCTTAACAAGCCTAATGTGTTCTGCCCTTGGGTTTTCCATTGTATCCTGAACTCACTATATGCAAAGAAAATGTCAACATACAAAATGCACTCTTAAGAGTCTATAGAGATCTTTGATTGGCAGTTCTTGTTTAAATATGAAATCTATGTATCTCAAAAAAGAAAAAATCCTGTATCTTTAAGTGATGGTTGTTAGCTGAGTAGTAATGTAAATAAAATCTCATGCACCATAGGCCTGTATAAATGGTAGACACGTTTCAAAATATTACCTTTTCTGCACATGTTTCCTGATTATATATTTGGCACCTTGAGTGATTATTTTTAATTTATATCTTGTATATTAGGTTTGAAACATCTCTTGGTGTATCAACCATCATTAGTAACAACAACAAAGCTTATTTTCATTCCTCAACATGTGATCAAATACACTAGCTAATTTGAGTTATGTGACTTACCTTTTTTTTCCTTCCAGCTATGAACCTGAGTTGTTTCCCGGCTTAATTTACAGAATGATCAAACCAAGAATTGTCCTGCTTATTTTTGTTTCTGGGAAAGTAGTTTTAACTGGTAAGTCACATGAAATTACTGCATGGATTATACTTTTTAAAAAACTACACTATAGTGCCCAAGAATTCCTATACAAACCAAGATAGTATGTTGACTTAGTCATTTTTCACAATTTTAAAGTTGCTATTGTGGCTAGTTCTTGAATGGAATGTACAGTTTGTTGTTTATTTACTTCCAGAATTAATGTATTGCAGAAGTTAGTAAATTATTTGTACTACGCTTATAGAACTATGAATCCACTGAACGAAGTGGTAGGCGGCTTCAGTTGTGAATATGGGGCTCCAGATACAAGATGTTATGTACTGTATTTCTCCGAAAATAAGACTAGGCCTTATATCAGTTTTTGTTCCAAAAAATGAATTAGGGCTTATTTTCAGGGGATGTGCAAAAATCTACATTTATTCAAATACAGTCATGTCATCATCTTCTAAAACATCATCATAGTATTATGCCAGTCATTTATTTGTAATTGTATATTGATATTATAATTCAATGCATCTGCCGTGTGTTGCAATGGATGTATTTAACATTAAATGTGACCATCTGGCTGACAATTTTACTTTGGGGGTAAGGCTTGTATCACGGGCATCCAGAAAAACCATATTGGAGTTTATTTTCCAGTTAGGCCTTATTTTTGAGGTTTTAACTAAAATAAATATCAATGTTCTCTGCAAGGCATACAGTAAAACCACATGCTTTGGTATTGTCTTCTAGGTGCAAAAGTCAGAGCCGAAATTTATGAAGCGTTTGAAAACATATATCCTATTTTAAAGGGATTCAGAAAAACAACGTAACAGTTCACTCTGCTTATGCAAGAAGGTATTGATTATGGCACAGCAGTAAAAAGAGACGTAAAGACTGAAACACCAGGACTTTGGAGTATTTTCTCAGTGCCTGCTTCCCTGATTTTCACGGAAAGGGAAGTTCTCATCATGCATTACGTCTGCCCTGAGTTACTGTGAGTTGCTTCATTGCACTCTCCTTGATGAAATAATTGAGTTTATTTATATTTTTTAACTTGGAAACAATTTTAACTGCTTTTTTCTATCTGGGAATCTTATGCTGGCAGGTTGATTAAACTGTGTCATCCAACCACTTAAAATATTTCAATTACAGTATTCTTCCAACCATGTGTTTTAAAACTAGAAAATTTAACCCTTTCGCCTTTCTTTCACATTCCATTTCCAGTGTTTAGCAGGACACACTTGCGGTTGAAAACAGATGGCTGTATATATATATTTCTAATTTTGGGAAACAATCAGTTTGAAATGTGTACTTGATGCTGTTTAGGACAATTGAGAATGGAATCTGAAGAGTCCTGTGATCAATCTGACTCGCTTGCGCTTCTGTTTTAATGTGCTATATGCATGCCTATAGTTTAAATGTATTGAAATGTTTTTATAAGATTTTTCTTAACACAGTATTAAAGCAATGCGTTTTGCCATTTAATGTTGTGGTGTGTTATTTGAGCAAACTGAAGTATTTTAAGTCTCTGGAACAAAGTAATATTACTACTTTCTCCCATTTGACCTTCTTAGCTCCTGTTCTCCTATGCCTCTTACAAACTGTAAGCTTATTGGACTTCCAGTTTGGATGGATGGAAGGAAAGGATACAAATAAAAATACCACAGTTCTCTGAATCATTTAGATTAGTCCACAATCATATGGCCTTTATTCTGTCTTTGCAGTTTCTCAGGCAGGAATCATGTGATCTTGCTTCCTTTCTGTCAATTGATTTCTTTCTCCCATGTTTATTTAGCTGTTATTATTTGGTACACAACAAGAGTAGTACACAGCAAACAAGATCACTATGCTGGCTTTTGCATTCGATGTCATGGCAGACACTTCCCAAGTGTCTAGGACTGTGTGATGTACCGGCAAATAATGCATGCAGATCCAATTATTTATTTATTGATCCTATTTCTATGCCGCCTTTCTCTACCCTGAAGGGGACTCAAGGCAGCTTACATATAGGCAATTATTCAATGCCTTTAAACACATACAAGTAGGGTGGCCTTTTGCAGCTGACAGATGGTAATATTGTCAGCGCCTATTGTTTTTAAGTACAGGCCAAAGGCTTTAGGCACTGCACCCAGTGTGCTAATCACCACTGGGACCACCTTTACTGGCTTGTGCCAGAGTCTTTGCAGTTCGATCTTTAAATCCTCGTATTGTGTATGCTTTTCCAGTTGCTTTTAGTCAATTCTACTGTCACCTGAGATTGCAACATTGATGATTGATACTTCGTTTTTTTTCCATGATGATGATATTATTATAATTTTTACCCCACTCCTAAGCCACAAAAGTTCTCAGAGCAGCTTATGACAGTGAATTTTGCTCTCAAGCTTACAATCTACATAAGGTCAATAATTATTACTTAAGACACAACGTTACCGTGTCTTGCTGGCTGCCTCCCTCCCACTCAATGTCTTTGCATCTCTTCCTTTAACTTCTGTTCTACTGTGTATGATTCCAGCTCTTAGCCTTTTTTCTATTTTGCTGCACTTTGTTGGTTCTCTTTGTTCATTTTCTCAAACTTTAAAAAAAAATAATTCTCTATCTTTTTATCTTAGTGAGAGGTAGTAGAGATGGCAGCAGACTTAACAGCTCTGCTCTTGTCACACGCAGAGCCTTGCTCTCCTGCTTTGGACACTTCTCTCCAACGCAGCCTTGTTTCCAAATTTGGGGGGGGGGGGGGGGTTGTGGCTGGAAGGAAGGCAAGGGGGTGTTCCCTTTTCCCCTCCCATCCCTCTTTTGATTCACTCCCCTTCCCTCTGGAAATGTACTTTCCTCCTCCTTCCAGTTTTTGAGCACAGGAAAGGAAGCCACCCACTCTCATGAGCACATATCAAAGGGTGTGCAGTGTTTCCAATTGGCCACATGATGGTGTCAGATAATACGGAGTGTCAAATGAGCAGAGCTCAGATAACAGACTTTACTGTATATTAACTGTTGGAAAAACTAAGTAGCCACAGGACCTTTGCCAGTGATACCTGCTTATAGTTTAAATAACACTTTTATTCAAATGGTACTTTTGTCAGAACATAAAAGGATCATTAAAACGCACCTTTACATTCATAGGAAAATGTTTCTTTGTCCAGTTTGTTCGGTGCAGATGTTTTGTCTCTGTAGGCTTATCTGTCAAATACACAAGGCCTCTTTATGGTGCTGATGACAACCATTCTTCCGTTTAAATTTTGTAGCCATTAAACAGAGCCTGAGATGTCCTGCTTCCAGACAAACTCTTCAGTGTAACCGTTGCCCTGGTTGCAATTCTCAGCACAGGTATAGACAGCCAAAGTTCCCCAGTCAATGCTTTCTCCAAGGCTGTCAACTTTAAGGTAATTCAGCAGTTGTGGCATAACCTGAGGCAACACACAAAGCAAGTGAACTCATAAAACAAAACTGCCAGCTCAATTTAAATCTGTGTTATATTACAGAAAATTACACTATTGGATTTTAGTATTTCATATATATCCTTCACATCTTTATTTTTTTTAAAGGAAATAAGATTAGCTCTGAGAGAGAAAATTCTAATTCCAATCTAAGTTTTGATAAACTCTGGCCCCTTCCACACAGCTGAATAAAATCCAACATCTGCTTTGAACTGGGATATATGGCAGTGTGGACTCACATATCCCGGGGCCCTTCCAGACAGGCCCTATATCCCAGAATCCAATCTCAGGTTTTCTGTTTATTCCAGATTACCTGGCAGTGTGGACTCTTATGATCCTGTTTAAATAAAAAACCCTGGGATCAGATCCTGGGATATAGGGTCTGTCTGGAAGAGCCCCCAGTTCAAGGCAGATATTGTGGGATTTTCTGCCTTGAAATTCTGGGTTATACGGCTGTGTGGAAGGGCCCTCAGACATTATCTATATGAGAGCTTGTTTTCTGTTTCCTTTCTTGGGACAAGAGTCCAAGGTGAAAGGAGGGAGGGAGTAGCGTGTCCCACCAGAAGGAATCTAGTGCCAATTTTATGATCTTAGGAGGGAAAAACTTCTGTTGAAGGTGCCAACTACACTTTTTGGTTTTTTATTTTTTATTGCCATTTTTATTCAGAAAAACAAAAAATTGCAAACAAAATTGAAGAATATAAACCAAACAAACTACAAAAACAAGAAAAGTATATATACATTCCCTTAATATAAGCCTACTACTACATCCACTAGCACTTTTTGTTGTTTATTAAGAGGTAAGTAGAAATTCTCATATGGAACCCCCGGGTGGTGCAGTGGGTTAAAGCACTGTGCCGGCAGGACTGAAGACCGACAGGTCGCAGGTTCGAATCCGGGGAGAGGCGGATGAGCTCCCTCTATTAGCTCCAGCTCCTCATGCAGGGACATGAGAGAAGCCTCCCACAAGGATGATAAAACATCAAAAATCATCCAGGCGTCCCCTGGGCAACGTCCTTGCAGACGGCCAATTCTCTCACAACAGGAGCGGTTGCTCCTGACACGACAAAAAAAAAAAAAAGAGAGATTCTCATTTCGCTGAATAGGATCTAATTCAGGACAGGGTGATACATTTTTTACTACTTTTAATTATTACTGGTTTGCACCTCCTCAGCTTAGCCAAACAAGCCAATGATTAGGCCTGTGAAGAGCTATAGTTCAACAACATTCTCCATCTTTGGCTTATATAACCAAGCATAAGCACCGAATGACTCTCTAAAGTTGCCAAACAACATCTACCAGCATTCCTCATCACAGAATATGCTGTTTAACACTACCAGAAGTCCTACAACACCTGGAGGGTCACAGAAACCCTACTCTTGATATAAATTTCTGAAAAGATTCAAATAATAATTTCTACAAACCTAAAGAGGCACCTTATGAAAACACCTTAGTGTAGCTATTGTCAAAACCCTGCTTTCCTATCCATTGTTAAGACTGTTGTTCAGTTTAGCTGTATTTCCATACCTGGAACTCAAATACACGCTTACTACCGCATGAGCATTTAGGGATATCCGTTTCCTGGGGAATGTTTTCTTCTGAAATCCAAAGGGGGCCTTCAACATCCCTGCAGTACCTGATGATCTGAAATTCAGGAGAGAGGATGGTGCTGGAGATTAACATACACAGAGAGACTTAAGCCAGAAAAAAAAGAGTTGCATTTCATTTATTTCTTCAAAATAAATAAAACCTGACCATTCCATAATATTTTCTATGGCCCAGCAATTAAGTAGTGGAACTGCACATCCATGGTGTAGCATGCACTAAAATAAATAGTTCCTTTTCTATGAATGGCACTGTCATGTTGCTACTGAACTGGTTGACACAAGAAATATTGAACTACCTCAATGGGGAACTACAAAATGCCGCTATCTGTAGAAATATACTCTACTTGTGCCACTTTATTTTATAATACCACTGTGCACAGCAATTGCGGTGTCTTTTAAAACTTGACTCTAAGCCCTTCCATCTACCAAGATCTCTATGTCACATCCAAGGACTTCAGTGCCAAGAAGTTATTCACAGTGACAGGATTTTGGACTATATTTCTTGCATCAGTCTCATCCTAGAAAGATAAACTTAAGCACTAATGTTGTATGATGATACAGTAGCAATATGAACCCATACAAAGGGGCTGTGAAAAATGCAGTTTTCAAACCTGTTCTGGTTCCAAAGATATTCTTTCTTTAAACTTTTGAAAAATCTTGTCAGCTTGGGTTTCATGCTTTGCCATTGCCTCCAAGAACTTCTCGTCTAAGTGTTCAGAATTTTCATCTGAAAAAAAGTCCCAGAAATGAAAACTGTATAAACCCACAACATTCAATGTTACTCCCAAGTACAGCAAATCCATTGAAAAGGGATTCCT